GGAAGAATTTGAGGAAAAAAAGTTATTCGAATTCCATTAGCATTTACTGGGGACTTACTTTGAGCCAGGAAAGGTGCCTAAGGTTTGTGAAAAGCTGTCATTTAACCCTCCCCACGCCCAATCCCTTTTCACACCTCCCATCTCAAGGTGAGGAAGCTGATGCTCAGAGCAGCACGCCATTCGCCCAGGACTGCACACCTGCTGCGCCCAGAGCCGGGCGGACGAGCGCTCTCCCTGCACCAGGTGCGTGGTCGGCAGTGGCCAAGGCTTCCTTTCCTCTTGCTTTCGGCAACATTAATGAGCAGCTCCTCAAAGGCGGCGAGAAGTCTGGCTGCCCACGCCGCACGCCCGGCCAGGAGCGCTCGCGGGGAGGACCTGCTGTAACTGCGTTCCTTACTGCATTTACTGCTCATGCAAATAACCGCTTTATTTTACCCATAAATTCACTGCCTAATAACAACAGACGTGCCAGGGCCTTGGCCTCCTGCCTATTACACCACCTGAGGAGCGAGATAATCACCCAGAAACGTACTGCCTGTTGTGCATTTTATTACTTGAATACAAAGTCATTCAATCCAAGAAACACTTAGTGGAAGACAGCGTGGAAAAAATCATCACCATGCGAGAAGTCATTCCCCCGGGGCTGCTGAGCGCACTGCGGGCGGGGCCCCTTCCGGCGGGGGGACGGGCCGGGTGACCTGTGGGGTCCCCCCCATGAGAATCCCACCAACAGCAGGACCAGAGAAGCTGCCGCGGCTTCCGTTACAGCGCGAACCCCAGGAGCCAAGCCTGCGCAGCTGGGAAAACGGAGCCTGTGTCTGTGTCCGACCCCGACATCCTCGGTGCAGCACGTCCCGAGCAACTAGGCTCCCAGGGCTCGCTCTCCAGCAAACCCTGCAGGCCCGGCGGGCGGGCGTGGCGGTGCAGGAAGAGAGGCGTGGCCCTCCCGGCCCTCCACAGCTCAGCATCCAACTCAGGATTTGAAGAATGGCAGCGTTTTCAAAACCAAGGAGAAGGGATCCCACGCTCGCCAGTTCCACGGATGCCGGTGCAGCAGCTCAGCGCCCCGCTGCCCCAGAGCTGCGGAGAGCGAACCGAATCCCCCATCCGGGGGTCAGACTGAGGGCCTTCCCAAGGGACGCCATCACCAGTGCCTCTCCCGGGGGCAGAGCTATCCACCTGTAGATTCCTCAAGCAGAAATAATGTGTTCTTATTGCTCTTACTACCATTATTTTTAAATGCGTTATTTTCCATTTTTAAAAATTAGTTTTAAAAGGCTGTTGAGACCGACAAGGAGCTTTAAAACAGTGGCTCTCAAATGTGGCCCCTGAACCAGCAGCATCAGAAATGCAAACCCTTAGGCCCCATCCAGACCAACCAGAGTCCCTGGGGTGGGCCCAGCCCTCCGTGTTTACAAGCTGAGCCACTGCAGAAGAGCCGGAAGCTGATCTGTAAGTACCTGCACGTAGTTTTTGATGGAGGCTCCTGTGTAAACTTCCCTGCTTACTATCGCAGTGACATAGACAGACCAGCAAGCCCAGCTGGCGCGGCTCAGTGGTTGAGCGCCGACCCATGCACCAAGAGGTCGCAGGTTCGATTCCCAGTCAGGGCACATGCACCGGGTGTGGGCTCCATGCCTGGTGGGGGTCGTGCAGGTGGCAGCCGATGACTGTTTGTCTCTCATTGATGTTTCTATCTCTCTTTCCCTCTCCCTTCCGCTCTCTCTAAAATCAATAAAAAAAAACTTTTAAAAAAAAAATCCCAGCGAATGTTACATTTAAGTGAGCCTGCTAGAGTCACCTTTCAATTACGAGCACCTGCTCTGTGACAACCTTGAGTTGGGTACTGTAACCACATTTTCAGAAGCAGAGGAATTAAACTCCAGAGAGAAAAGGTAAATTTATGCATAAGGCCAAGACCAAAACTCTCCTAAATTGAATCCCAGGCTCTCTGCTCAGTTGTGCTAGGAGTGTGTATGTGCGTGTGTGTGTGTCCACGTGATTTGTGTGCATTCTCATATAAACACATCACTAACAATGAAGTTCACATAGATTGGTAGAGTAATAAAATCTGTCTATCAATCCTCAAAAATGGACACCTTGCATTTGCCAAACAGTCTAACAATTCTGCAACCTACTCAAAGGACACGTAGAAAATGAAAAGTCATCTACAGAGACATCTCACCCAACACTAGGACGCCAGGGTTCGTACCCCCAGCTGGAAGCCCAACCCAGCCTCCCCACCCAGCCTCATACTTCTCCATGTCTCCAGGTTGGCTGGCAACCTGGTCTACGTTCTAAGCATAGGAGTTAGAAGCATGCACGCTGATTTACAAAGATCTTTCAAATGACAGGGTATCATAAAAACACTATAGCCAGTCATCTGAATTCTACTGAGCAGAAAAACCCGTGGTTGTAAGCTCACCTTATGCGGCACGAGGCTTATAAACATGGCCATCCCACGAGTCTGCACCCCAGCCGTCCTCACCGAGAGCCTCCCCTGCATCAGGGCTCCTCTACTCCCCACCCAGGCTGGCATCTTGCTCCCAAAGGTCATCTTAACAAACACTTTATCTGGCAGAGTAAATTTCAAGCCTATGCAATACACTACAGGACACACACACATTGCGACACACACACACACACACACACACACTGCAAGACTCACACACACACACACACACACACTGCAAGACACACACACACACACACTCACACACACACACACACACACACTCACACACACACACACACACTGCAAGCTCACACACACAGACTCAAAAATCAAACTCAGAACACAACGCGGACCTCAAAGTCAATACGCTTTCATGGAGTAACATCTCCTGTTGTAAGTGATAACTACACAGGCTGTGCTGAAACACAAGAACATGTTTAGGACAATGCTGAAAGGAAGAGGACAGGAAACACTATGAATACAATAATATAAGAATGTCTTTTCACAGATGGACAGGGTCTAGAAGATGTGACAAGAACAGCCATGTTGGGATGGTGGGGGCATCAGTATTTTTTTTTTTAATCCTCACCCGAGGATATTTTTCCAATGATTTTTAGAGAGAGTGGAAGAGAGAGGGAAAGAGAGAGAGAAACATCGATGTGAAAGAAACACATCAATTGGTTGCCTCCTGCACGCGGCTCACCACAGCCTGGAACAGGGTGGAGCCTGCAACTGAGGTACGTGCCCTTGACTGGAATTGAACCCAGAACCCTTGAGTCCGCAAGCTGACGCTCTATCCACTGAGCAACACTGGCCAGGGCAGTCTTTTTTATTTTAAATGCTCTTTAAGGGAGTGTATCTCAGCGTGTTCGCTGCAATATGCTCACAGGCAGCACCTGACTGAAGGGCTCCTGCCTCCTCTCCCTCCCCACCTGTCACTCTCCCACAGCCCCGGGCCCTCCGCCTGGGTCCTGCCCGCCCCCTCCCGACTCCTCTCCCCTTCGCTCCAGGTATGAACTCACCTCCTTAGAAAGGCCTCCCTGGTCCCCTGGTCCCCACCCCCCCGTGGGGCTAGCACAGCCCGTCCTCCCCTGCCCTGCACGTGCGACACTGGAAACTATACTTCTCATCTGGGAAATCAGAGACTTGGTCATAGGCTCCATGAAATAAAATGGTGTTTTTACACCCCTGTCCCCCCGGCCGGGAGTACCCAGCTCATCGCTGGCACTCCAAACGCATTCATCAAACTAATGAGTGAAGGATTTTCACAGCCCTGTCATTCAAACAGCGCTCCTCTCCCAACACGCACACGCACACACACACACCCTAGATATTGTTCATGGCCATCACTCTCGCCATCCAAGGCAGAGTTTCAGTGTCACCCATGATTCTCTCTTGTCCCTACACTGAGCACACGTGGCCGGCGACAGAAAGGGCTTCTTAGCACACATGACCTCAGGGTTGTTCGCTGGCGGCCTCCCTATCACACCACTGATGCCGCGAGAGCAGGGGCCTCACCTGAGGATGATGGTCTACCAGGGGTCGGCAAACTGCGGCTCGGCAAACCGAAGCTCGAGAGCCACATGTGGCTCTTTGGCCCCATGGGCCACGAAGTTTCAATTGCACTGTACATGTGCGCCCGCACGTGGTATTTTGTGGAAGAGCCTCACTCAAGGGGCCAAAGAGCTGCATGTGGCTCACAAGCCGCGGTTTGCCAACCATGGGAATGGATGGGATGCGAGTTTTGAGGGTTGAGTGTTGTGCTCATTTTCTCAGCCTGAATGCCTGCGGCCCCAGAATACGGATCCTAAAGCAAAGCTTACGGGGCTATTTGTAATGTGCTCCCTCGCATGCAGAAAGGGCCTCGGAAATCACTCCCACCTCCTGTGATGACAGATACGGCATTGGGCCAGGGGAAACTAGTCATGTCAGGGAACGGGCCGCGCTTGGCGGCTGTCAATCCCTGGTGCCCGCCGCAGAAACAGTTTGACTGGCAGCCTTCTGCGATGGCAGGGCTGGAAACCATTCCGTTCTGCCAGCTCCGGAGCCACAGGAGCGACAGGAGCCGGTAGCACATCCTATTTATAGCTCGCCAGGCGGCAGGCGCTCGGGCGGGGGAGGGAGGCTGGGGTTGCAGCCCGCAGTGCGGGAGGCTGCTGCCCCCTAGAGCAGCCCCGACGTCCCGCGAAGGAACCACAGCTGCCCGAGGCCCGCAGCACGGCCACCGCATCACTCTCTGAACTCCCCGTGGCTAATGTCTGCAGGCCTGTTGGGCACCAAATTAAGGAATTCAGTCTTCAAACCTATCAGCCGTTGCTTCCTGATACGATAAATACTAGTATGTCAGTCCCCAGACAACCTTGGCACAAAAGCCAGCATTTAGCGCGCTGGCAGCGTGGCGGACTCGAGCCGGGAGTGACAACGGCATCCTGATCGCCGGCAGCACTTCCTTCCTGAGGCCCGACACCCGGCACAGCACACACATCGGCGGCGACGTGACCCTGAGCCGCCAGCGGACACAGGTGCGGGAGAAGCGGGGTCTCACCTGGCCTTGGTACTGCCTGGTTTGGTGCTGTTGACGTTTGTTTTCATGCCATTTCGTTTCATTTCCTTCCAGATAAACTATTTCTGAATTTGTGTATTCTGAAAAATAAGAGAGCAACGGGGTTAGCACAGAATGGCAGGCAGATGTCCTTCTTTAGCTTCTCGGGCCACAAGGCCAGAGCCTTTGGGTCTGCAAGGAAATCCAGTGATACTGCCGCCTACTAAAGAGGGTCGAGCCCCCAGGCAGATCCTCCATGTGAACTTCACTCCAGATGTCAGCTTTCCCAGGCGGGGAGCTGATGTCAGAGCTCCTCTTCCCATATCTCCATCACACACACACACACACACACACCACATACACATACTACACACACACATGCCACGTACACATACTATACACACACACACCACATACACAAACCCTGCATACACACCCCACGCACATCACACATACACAACCACACACACACACCCCTACTGCGGTCCCCTCTATTTTCCTCATATCAGCCAGAATCATCATTTTAAAATGCTGATCTTGTGCCCAGCTGGCATGGCTCAGTGGTTGAGCATTGACCTATGACTCAAGAGGTCACAGTTCAATTCCTGGTCAGGGCACATGCCCAGGTTGTGGGCTCGATCCCCAGTTCGGGGCGTGCAGGAGGCAGCCAATCAATGATTCTCTCTGGTCATTGATGTTTCTCTCTCTCTCTCTCTCTCTCTCTCTCTCTCTCTCTCTCTCTCTCCCTCCCCCCCCCCCCTCCCTTTCTTTCTCTGAAATCAATAAAAACATATATTTTAAAAAAACACAAGACTTGGTTCAATGAATGGTGCATCTTGTGGAAGGTACTGAATTTAGAGAAAAAAAATGCTGATCTCGTGTTACTTCCTCGCTTTACAAATTCCAATTGCTTCCTGTGGCCCTTAGAATAAAGACCAGGGTCCTTCATGGTGTCACAAGGCCTATGGGCGGGCTGGGCCTGCCTCTCCGGCTCTGTCCTCTCCTGGGTTCTCTGTGCGGCGACCGCACCGGCCCCTGGCAGTCCCTCCGATGAGGCCTCCCACGGGAAAGCTTTCTCCCGTGTGCAGCAGCCCCCTGCCCAGACCACTCCTCCTCCTTCCCTCTGCCTCTGGGTCCTTCCTCCTCCCAGAGATCCGCAGGATCTCCTGGAGGGCTCGTCAGACACCCACGGCTGCCCCTCCGCCAGGTCCTGGGTGGGGGTGGGCCCGAGAATCTCCTCGCTGACAGCTCCCAGGTCATGCTGGTGCTGAGAACCCGGCCACGTGTCTGGGTGCAGTCACTTCCTCAGGAGCCGTGACACCCGCACGCTAGGTGGGCCCCACGACACCCCACGAGGACCGCCCTAACCCTGGGAGCCCGCAGCCAGTTGCAGTGGCGTGTCTACCTGTGAGTATTCAACCAATGCCTGTCTCCGGCGCGGGTCCCAGGCAGGGCCTCGAGTTCCGAGGCGTTCACCCCCGAGGGAAGGAACGCGTTTGCTTCCACCCCTGCCCCTGGGCCGGTTAGAGCAGCAGTCCCTGCCTCCGGCCTCCTGCCCTCTAAGCAATCAGCACGCACCGTCAATTTTACCAGGAAAACACCTCGCCCACGGACTCTCTGCCCTCCGCCCCATGTCGCTGCTCTGATCCTCACTGGTCTGGATTAAGAAATAGCCCTTAAGCTCCTTCCCGGCCTCCACTCCCCCCCATCCTCCTCTGCTGCCAGGCTTCATCTCGCTAAAGCACAGACGCAGTTACGTTACTCCTTGGCTTGAGGGCACGCAATGCAAAACACACGTGTTACATTCTCAGAGAACTATGCACAAAGGAGAACATGAGAGCCTGTCCGCGCTGGGCTGCGGCTTAGACCCCGGTTGTGCTCCCTGCACGTTGGCTGTTCTGTGAGACGGTACCACTGAGGGGAAGGGAGGACACACTGGGCCTCCCTGCACTAATTCTGCAACATTTTTGTGGGTCTAAATTTTTTTAAGTTAAAAAAAAATACTCCACACTCTCCAGAGCAGAAGATCATCACATCATTAACAACCTGGCTCCAGGAGACCCCCCCAGGCACCCCAGTGCCTCACACACCGCACTACTGCAGTCCTCCCAACGTGCCCCGTGGCCCCTCACCTCCCAACGCGCCCCGTGGCCCCTCACCTCCCAACATGCCCCGTGGCCCCTCACCTAACAAAATGCCCCGTGGCTCACCTCCCAACATGCCCCTTGGCTCACCTCCAACATGCCCCGTGGCTCACCTCCCAACGTGCCCCGTGGCCCCTCACCTCCCAACATGCCCCGTGGCTCACCTCCCAACGTGCCCCGTGGCCCCTCACCTCCCAACATGCCCCGTGGCTCATCTCCCAACGTGCCCATGGCCCCTCACCTCCCAACACGCCCCGTGGCCCCTCACCTCCTCACCTCCCAACGTGCCCCGTGGCTCACCTCCCAATGCGCCCCGTGGCCCCTCACCTCCGCGTGTGGTTCACTCTTTTGCTGGAATTCCCTTCTCCTTTTCTGCCTGGCACACTCCCACTCATCTTTCGAGATGGAGAAGGGAGCCCTCCTGCGGAGGCCCTCCTACCCTTGCCTCCTTAAACGAACCAGCCAGGCCTTTCCAGAAAACGTGGCCTTACAGTTTCGTTCTGCACCCGTCACTCCATTACTTTGCTGTGGGGCGGGGGACATATGTGTACGGTGTTAGCTCCTCCCAGCCCGTCCCCCAGTTCTGCCGCCATGTTCACTTCGGTTCTCCGCTCCCATGCTCCGCGCTAGGCTGTGTAGCAGCCCCCCCAGCGGAGAATCGGCAGCACCCAGCCTCCTGGACCAGCACCTGCTGCACAGCCTGGTGCGCAGTGAGCACTCCATTAACCTCCTCTCGATGGACCGCCGCTCTCAATGCCAAGGACTGGGAGGGCAAGAAGCGCGGGCTACTCTGACCCTGCCTTTGGCAGCTGAACAATGTCCTGACCGTGAGCAAGGCAGTGACGCGTCCTGTAGGTCAAGCCTGACTTCCCACCACCCTCAGCTGAGGCTGCCTAAACAGAGAGAATTCGAAGGCCTCAGCGCACTCGGGATTGCCGCACAGCGTGGGAAAGTGGACATCCGCCAGGATTCTAAGACCACTGCCCCCAAAGAAGCACCAAGTCACAGAGCATCACAGACACTCCTAACCACAGGCGGGGGCACGGACAGGCGGCGATTTCACCTGTACATGTACTTGCCACGCACGTCCTGAGGTCCAGTTCCTGACAGATGCTATTTATACCAGAATCGTAACCAACGTGCCATCCATCTGCCTGGCCATCAAGAAAGCGTAATTCCACACCCCACAGAAAAATGTGTGCGGCCCAGCAGAAGCGGCATCGGCAGCGGAAACTGTTGGAACTGTATCGCGGGGAAGTTATCACCTGACTAAATTGGGAAACGGTGCAAGCAACACAGATGATTCTGGCAGTTAAATCCAAATCCTTGAGAAAAATCTTCCCTGTGTCCATTCTGCCATCAAATGGATGGTCTGTTCGGTTCTGGGACACATCACCCTGGTAAGTTCCCTCCTTGGCCTTCCATGTCCTCAGTCATTTGCTGAGCATCTCCGGGGGAGGGGGGGGGCGCGGGGGGGGGGGGAGCAGGGGGGATGAAGAATTTGGAGTAAAAAAAAAACATGGAGTCAAACTGGCTCCACTACCTTCTGTGCAGTTGCCAGTGAACTAACCCCCGCCGGACTGTCTCCTCATCTGCAACATGGAAATAATCTTTCTCTTTAGAGCAAGTATTCCAGCCTGGGACCTGGGGGCGGGTCCATGTGTGCTTCCATGGAACTTGCAAGTCTCAGAGACTGAATAGTAAGCGTGTGACATGATTTTTCTAAAAAGAGGATGCATTACTTCCACCAGCTTCTCCAAGGGCAAGTGACACCCCTCCCCCCAACACTCTAAAGGCTGTCAGAGGGTCACAGATACTGTCGCTAAAGCGCCTGACACACAGGGGCTGTGTCCAGTATTTGGTGGCTGTTATTAAGTTTAGGTCCTGGGAAGGGACAGAAAGATAAGTCAGACCCCAGGGCAGAAGGCAGGGAGACAGTTCCAGGGGAAGGTGTTGAGTGTCGTCTCAGGGATGTTTAGGCCAACACAGGAGGGCGAACCAAAGTCAGTGCCGAGAAGCCAGCAGGAGAGAGTGACCAGGTGGAGGCCCGGCTGCGCCAGGTCAGCGCCTGGCCACCACTGAGGTGTCCTCGACGCCTAGACAGGACTTGGCACACGGCCGGTGCCCAGCGAACAATCGTGAAATAAGCAGACGAGTGAGGGAGACCAACCCAGGGGACAGGATAACACGTGTCCCAATCCCTCGGGGAAAAACAAAATTCCGAAGGTGTTACTGAAAAGTACTGATTTGATATTCAAAATCACGTTACGATTCCCCTGCAAATGTGATGGTCCACGCTCTCCCCTAAAGAGTGAGGACCCCGGGCCCACGCCTCCGTCACTCAGCGGTCCCCGAGCCCTCGTGGGCGTTGTGATGAAACCCAAGAATTCTGCCTTCCAGACCAGCGGTTAGAAAAGCTTCATTTTTTTTCCCAGAGGAATTCAAATGCCTTATTTGCCTGGACAAAATTAATTCAATTTCTTTCTTTTTGTTTTAATTTTCTTTCTCCTTGAGTTCAAGAAGCTGAGAGCTGAATGTGTAGCCCAACGGTTTTACCCACTATGGATGGTCGGAGTGTTTTTGTTTCTCCAGACACTACTTTCCCATCCAATCTGTACTGGGCGTGACCCTGACTTCTGTGTTTTTATTTTCGGTATCGTATGTGTTCTCACGGTCATCTCAAAGCTTCAGTGGGACGTACAGAGTATTGACGTGAACACTGAACACTAGCACCGCGTCCTGGAGTACTAGGCACGAACACCGGGTCTGGGCCACGGCCCAGTAGCTCAGTGGTTTAGAGCTCTTGCTCACACACCAAGGTTTCGAGGTTTGATCCCCGGTCAAGACACGTACAAGAATCAATCAGTGAATGAATAAATAAGTGGAACAAATCAATGTCTGTCTGTCTCTCTCTCTCTCTAAAATCAATAAAACGATTTTTAGGGGAGGCAGGCCTGGAGGAGAGGCTGCACCCTACCATTTGTCTGCTTTGTAGCCCCTTAACTGCCCTGCAAAATGGAAAGAGTAACCACTTTTTCATAAGCAGCTGATGAGGACTCAATTTTTTTTAAATGTATTTGAGCCTGGAATAGAGTAAGTGCTCCATGAGGAGCTCCAGGAATAGCAGTCGCAGCTGCAGGTCTCGCGGCAGCAGGAAAGCTGCAAACACGTGGAGCGAAGAAATAACGGTGCCCCTGACGCCCAGCAAACAGAACCGAACAGCGGTCAAAGGTCAGAACCAAGAGGAACGCGAGGGACATAAACCCTCTCGTACTGGAAGGGCCTCCTGTTCCTGTGTTCTCTCTATTCACGCTTGCTCAGACCTGCCCCTCCCCTTCCCACCTGCTCTTCTGAACGGTGTGGACATCCGGGGCAGCGCTGCACTGAACGTGAGTCCATCTTTAAGTAGCACCAGAGTCCAGTCGATGTGATGTTGCACGCCTACATCTGGGCACTTTTGGATAAACACACTTTACGGGAGGGAAGCAACGGTTACCTCCCTGTCCCAGCCGCGGCTCCTCGTCTGCATCACACAGCTTGTGCTCCCATCCTGGCGGAGGCAGGAGGCAGCCAGGAAAACCTGCCGGGGCTCCCACCACCCACTAGCCCGGAACATTCACTCTCCGTTTTTTAAATATGTTTTTATTGATTTCAGGGAGAGGAAGGGAGAGAGGGACAGAAACATCCATGATGAGAGAGAATCATGGATGGGCTGCCTCCTGCACGCCCCACACTGGGGATCGAACCCGCAACCCGGGCCTGTGCCCTGACCGGGAATCGGATCGTGGCCTCCCAGTGCATTAGGTCCACCCTCAACCCCGAGCCACGCCGGCCGGGCCGCAACAGTCAACCTCGATACACACCTGCAAAGCAGCTTCAGTGAAGCCATCGGCTTGTTACCAGCCAGCGGCCGCCCGGGAGATCCCTGCTGGGGGCGGGCACCCGCCTGCGCACCATCCTCCCGGCACTGGTTCGGGCTCCAGGTGCCCGTCAGCCCAGGGCGTCAGCATGGGGAGCAGCAGACGGCTGGAAAGGGCAGACACAGGCGGAGGCCAGCGTAAAGTCTCCGGTAAGCACTTGTGTTTTCCTTTTCATTGTTGACACTACTGCCCATGTTCCTGTCTCCCCCCACCCCCTCCACGCAGCTCCCACCCACTCGGATGAGCATTATTTGACAAACATCCACAGCACCTGCTGTGAGCCAACGCTAAACTGGGTGCCTGCTTCACTTCCCAATTCCCGGGACATGACCGACCGGATGTATGTTGCACGGAAAACAGGGAATAAAAGAGATGAAGGAACTGCAGTGGGTGAAAGTCTAATTTTTTTTTTTTTACAGCATTTCTGTAAATCTACCCATGGTAGAGGCACCTTCTTAAGAAACATTAAAATACTCCTCTTGGAAGCGATGTCTCGATGGTCTTAAGTTTTGTGAAAGCCAATATTTCACAAAGCGCCTCCGGACAAAATTTCTGGGGAATAACTATGGAGGGGAGGGGGTGGTGTCTGAGGAGAAAGAATGTTCTAGAAAGACCTGAGATTTCTTTTTTTTTTTTTGGACCCGGGACAGAGTGCCGAGTTTGAATTCTGGCTTTGCAACCTCCTGGCTGTATGGCTTTTGGACAACCGCCCTCACCCCATCGGGCGCTAGTCCTCACCCAGGAGGTGGCGGTAACCACGACACAGTCAAGGTGGGAACAGAAAAACAAGGGGCGTGGAACAGTCTGTAAATGGGAGCAACTCGAGGCATTACCGCGCGTTTCCCACGTGACCTCACAGATCCAGGGAGGGGAGGTCCCCCCTTCCACGTTGTTGATAACCTGTCTTCCCCAGATACCACGTCAGCTGCGCGGGGGCCACGCCATCCTATTCACCTACGCCGCCCACCCCGCGCTCGGCACCTGCAGGCGCACCACCCACACGTGGGAAAGCCAGCACCGGCCCTTCACCGCGGACGGGGAGGGGAACCCCCGTGCCCCCGGAGCGGGCAGCCGCCCTCCCGGAGCTGTGGGGCCTTCAGGTCTGCCCGCCGGCCCCCTGCTCGGCCCTCCGCCGCCCCTGCGGCTCGCGCGCGGGCTCCGGGGGCCGCGGCCATGCCGCCTTACCCGCGCCCGCGTCCAGTTCTCCTCCTCGCGGGGCCACTAGAGCGCGCAGCGAGCCGCCGGGCGCGGAGGCCCAGCCCACTCCGGGACGCTGTTGCCGGGGCGACGACGACGCTCGCTGACTGGAGACTGTTTCTCCGCACTCGGGAATAAGCCGTGTTCCGATTGGCCAGGTCGACTACGGAGCGCGCAGGGACGGGGCCCGGGCCGCGCACTGGCTCCGCCCCCGACGGAAGGGACTTCCGCCGGAAGTCGTGTCCTCACGCGGCGGGAACGTGCCTGACGACGGGCCGCGAGAAAGCGGGTTTCTGTTAAGAGGGCTTCGCGCGAGGAGCGGGCGGTTGGACTGGTCGCGCGGAGCCGCCGGGAGCCGCGTGTCTGGTGGGAGGCAGCCGCCTCCTGGGAAGCCCTCCTCACCTGTGCACACCAAGCACACCCACTCGGGGTCTGCCCTCGGCGGAGGGAGGGGTTTTCAGAGCCCGGCCGCGTGCTACAGCTTCCCAAACGGCAGCACTTAGTCTTAGAGCCATTGCGACTGTCGCACTGATGGGCATGGCTACTGTGCCCGGCGGCCTCCTCCGGGAGAGGACAGCCCTGCGGGGGGGACCAGCTCGCGTGGCCCGCAGCTTAGCCTCAGCCCCGCCGGCCTCACCAGGGCTGCCTTCAGGACCAGCCGCCAGGGGAGCGGGTGCTGTCCGCATCCGCAGGCAGAGTGGGAACTCCGCAGGTCACGTGACCATCATCCTGGCAATGGCAGCAGCTGTCGCTGGCCTCAGGGAGCGCTTCCCTTTGCCGGGTCCCCATCCAGGTGCGTCACTTGCCGTGTAATCTGCACTGATCGGCACAGCAGCCCTACGAGGAAGGCGCCATGGTTATCCCCGTTTCACGTTTAGGAGACGGAGGCACCGGGAGGGTCTTCTGCGCAAGGACTCACAGCTGCTCAGTGGCCGAAGCAGAGCGAGAACCCAGGCAGCCTCGGGCCCCGGGTGCGCTCTGAAGCCCCTGCCATGCCGCCCCTTGCGGAGCGAGGTTCTGCCGGCGGAGGAACGCCCTCCCCGCGGTTCTGTCCGCGGATAAATCGCAGGGCGCCCTGCTGAGTCCTGGGGCGGGGCGGGGGCGGTGTTTTAGGGCCCTGCTCAGCCCTGGGACTGCACGGCTGGTGGCTAGTTCTACTCCACCGAGAGTCATTTCCGACGCTTTCTCTCCTGGGGTCGGCTCGCTTCGGTGAACGGCCTCCCCTCCGTTCTCGCTGAAAACAAAAAGGGACCCATAAGAATAGAACATGCACCTGCTTTGGCAACGTTTCTGCTTTTGCTCAGGTTCCAAAAGATGAAAGGGGAATATTCACAGAGGCGGGTTCCCCCGCTGGCGCCCTGAATCCCACCCCCATTTGCCTGGACTTCCTCGCGTCGGTCGCCGGTTCGGTGTGATCTGGGAAGCCCTGGTGTCCGGATCCTTGCCGAGAGCCCAGAATCGCCAGAACTGTTTTCGTAGCAATGCCAAGACGGTTCACTTCTGTTTTTGAGGAGCGTGCAGTAGGGTTTTCCGGAAGCTACGTGATGTGTGATGTGGCAACAGATTGGATGCAGGAGCAGGTAGGAGAATTCAGCAGTCTGCTGCTAAGCTGGCATTAAAGAGGCTTTTAATTCGGTCAAATTTGTTTGTTCATTGTGTTGTCGGGATTTTCCATTTCTCTACTAATTTTTGTTGTTGCTGTTTTTCCCTTGAGTTTCTGAGAGAGATGACACTATAAGTTGTATTTAGTGTGGGTCTGCTCACAGTAAATTGATTCCATCTTTATTTTTTTAAAAAGATATATTTCTGTGTTGATTTCAGAGAGGAAGGGAAAGGGAGAGAGAAACATCAATGATGAGAGAGAATCATTGATCGGCTGCCTCCTGCACACCCCACACTGGGGATCAGGCCTGCAACCCAGGCATGTGCCCTTGGCCAGCATCGAACCCAGGACCCTTCAGTCCGCAGGCTGACGCTCTACCCACTGAGCCAAGCCGGCTAGGGCAATTCCGTCTTTATTTATCTGAAAACCTTCATTCACCTTTAGGATATTTTCTTGAGTATAGAACTCCAGGTCTGCAGATATTTTTGCTCAGCCTCTTTTTTTTTTTAAATATATTTTATTGATTTTTTACAGAGAGGAAGGGAGAGGGATAGAGAGTCAGAAACATCGATGAGAGAGAAATATCGATCAGCTGCCTTTTGCACACTCCTCACTGAGTATGTGCCCGCAACCAAGGTACATGCCTTTAACCGGAATCAAACGTGGGACCCTTGAGTCCACAGGCCAACGCTCTATCCACTGAGCCAAACTGGCTAGGGCTTTGCTCAGCCTCTTAACAATGCTATGTCCTGGCTTCCATCATTTCTGTTGCAAAATCTGCTGTTTGTGTAACTGTTATTCTTTCCTAAGTAATGTATCTTTCTTTTCTCTGGAAAATTTTAAGATGTGCCTAGCTGTGGTTTTGCTTTTTTTTTTTTTAATATATTTTTGTTGATTTCAAAAGGAAGGGAGAGAGAGATCGAAACTTCAATGTGAGAGAGAATCATTGATCAGCTGCCTCCTGCACACCCCCTACTGGGGACTGAGCCCACAACCCAGGCATGTGCCCTAACAGGGAATAGAACCACAACTTCCTGGTTGATGGGCCGACACTCAACCACCGAACCACACCGGCTGGCCTTGGTTTTGTCTTTACCCTGCTTGGGTTTGTAGGCTATCTTGAATCTGTGGCTTAGTGTCTTTCATCAGTTTTGGAAAATTCTCAGCCAGGATCACCTCAGATATTGCGGTGCCCATTTACTCTTCTCTTTCTGTGACTCTGAGCCACAAGGACTTGTTCACATCACACTAGGGCAGTTGTTTTAAAAAACACATTCTGAGGCTATTTGTAATCTCCAGGATTATCTCATTGGGTTGGATTTTTGGGAGACCTATTTCAAATAACACCTGACACATCCAACGCCAAAAAATGTAATGGCATGGCACTAGGGATTTCTAACTCTGTGTTTCAGTTCCTCTGTCTCCAGTCCCATCGGGCGTCCTCTTGTTCAGAATCATCAATATTTGGGGTAATTGTTGTTCCAAGTGAGATAACAAGCTGCTCCGTGAGAATCTTTGCAAGCATTCTTGTTTTTAGCAACACTTCTCTCTGAGGGAACATTGTACGTGAAAAACCCTGACTTATAGTTGGCTGTGTGAGCAAATATGGGACTTAATAAACGTCTTTGAACCAACCTGAACTCAGTGAAACTTAAGTGATGTATGCTCGGGTCCAGAGTCCAGAACTGGGAAGCTAGAAATCTGCGCTTCCTTCCTTGCTCACGAGGATTTTTCCATGTACCTAGATGACTGATTAGACCAGCCTGTCATGAGAGTTTGAAGTGTAATTCTTTTTTCCCTAAGAGCATCTTCACTCTAGAGCAGCCGTGGGCAAACTACGGCCCGTTTGAAATGAATAAACTAAAAAAAAAAAAAGACCGTACCCTTTTATGTAATGATGTTTACTTTGAATTTATATTAGTTCACAGAAACACTCCATCCATGCTTTTTTCCGGCCCTCTGGTCCAGTTTAAGAACCCATTGTGGCCCTCGAGTCAAAAGTTTGCCCACCCCTGCTCTAGAATGTTCTCCCTGACCCTGGAAATTCCCCACTTCCATGTGAAGAGTTAACTTAGATTTTTTTTTTTTTTACAAGAACCTAAAGTCGCCTCACTGTATTGTTCTGATCAGCCCATAGTCTATTAGGTTAGGTTTTCTCTCTGTTCAAACAGACCAGAGCTCTGTGGTGCAAACAAGTTTGACGTGCTTGCTGTCGTGTGACAGGGCCTCCAGAGAGGAGTTTGGAGGAAGGGGTTACTGTCTTCCTTGACCATACCTTCCAAAGAGCACTGGCCACGCCCTTGGTGCTCTGTCCTGAGTCTGCTTTCAACAGAGCCGAACCCGCTACTGTGTCCAAGGTACCACTCAGCACCACCCGGCACCACTGGCACCACTCAGCACCACTGCAACCAGGAAAACCCAACCACCCAAGAAACGCTGACAGTCTGTGCTGCTCACACCCAGTGAGGGACCCGCTGCTGAAACCTCTGTGGACGCCAACCAGGGGAAGCTGGGGGAATAGTGCTCCCCTTACGACATCCAGCAGACAGCTCATCCCCTCGGTGGTCAGGGGGAATCTCGGGGACTTGGGGAGCCGTGTCCCTCCCTCAGGTTCAGAGCTACAAGGCCTCCCCCATCTGTACACCTAGGAGACTGGGCTCCACAGCAAACGTGTGGCCTCAGAAATGGAGACCAGACTCTGAGCCGTACTTAGGGGGACGTCCCATTTGTTATTAAGTGAGGTGTAAGTCGCTCTCTTGGAAGAGCTACTGGGGTGGCTTTTTACTTACTGAGGTGCTTTCTCTTCCTGGCAGTGCCCTTGACCAGTGACCCAGCTGCTTGTTCCTGTTCAGTCAGCCAGACACGAAATCGCACATTTTAACACTATCGCTGCACATCATTGATCATCATTTGTAAACGGGGCCGTTCTGCTATTTTAGGATCTGCCTTGAGAGAGACTACATCCTGGCTCAGCGAGCAGCCCCAGGCTTCCACTCCCATTTATGTGCTAAGATGCTATTAAGCTCTTAATTGCCCTTAAGAGTTACCAGTTGTCTCCTTCCGCGGAAGCAGGCCTCAGAATCCACTCATCTAGCTCCTGAACAGGACCGCGTCGTGTGGAGTACTGGAATTTAGAATGTTAATGAGTCCTGCCCGCCGAATATTATGCTGCAGCAAACTGAGGAGAACGGCCCCTCCCCGGAACACAGGAGCAGCTAGAAAACAACAACTTCGGCTTCATACACCTGGGCAACGAGCAAATCCCCGACAATCACCAGGAATTCTCTGTGCCGAGCGCCAGGATCTGCAGCAGCTTGCAATTAGTGCTGTTTAGCATTTAATTTGCCTTTAGTTAGGTAACAAGCATGTATTGATTACTTGATAGGGATGCAGCGCTGTGCTGAGCACGGTGTGGGGACAGAGTGATGGATGAGGCACAGCCCCTACTTAGAGTCTCCTTGGGGCTGGAAATGTTGACTTTGGA